AGTCCCCCAAGCCGCTCCACTCTCCACCGGCTCTCCTGCTCTGCTCTCCGCCTGGCGCCTGTATATGCAAATTAACCCGCCATCTTTGTCGGGTTAATTTGTATACTCACTCCTGATTGGCTGGTGAGCATAGCAGAGGACGGTCAATTTCCATGTTTCTCTTTTATTATATAGGATTATATAGGATAACTCTTCATAAAGGACACCTACCAACAACCCCTAAGACAACATGGTAACAACCTTAGCTACAGTCCCCTTAAATGGAATTAACAAAGATGCACACTATTATTACCTCTATGCAACACTGTAAACTGATGTTTGAGCCAGTGCAAAAAATATAAGCATAACAGATATTAGGATTAGAAGGAAGAAAAGCCTTCATTTGCAAGCAGTGTGACTGTATACAGATGAAATATTTTAAAAATTCAGTAAGACTACCTATTGTTAGAATATGAAAACTGTCTTCCCACATACCAGCAACCAATAACTAGGAAGTGAAAGTTCAAAAAATATGCCACTTTATTATAAAAAGTAATAAAAATTTTAAGTAGGAATAGATAAGACAGGTAAGACTCTAGAGCAGCCGTGGGCAAACTACAGCCTGCGGGCTGGATCCGGCCCATTTGAAATGAATAAAACTAAAGAAAAAAAAGACCGTACCCTTTTATGTAATGATGTTTACTTTGAATTTATATTAGTTCACACAAACACCCCATCCATGCTTTTGTTCTGGCCCTCTGGTCCAGTTTAAGAACCCATTGTGGCCCTCGAGTCAAAAAGTTTGCCCACCCCTGCTCTAGAGGAAAATGGAAGAATACAAAGTCTTACATAATTATAGTCCACATTCATGGACACAAAGACTCACTGTGGTAAAGATGCTAGCTCTCCACAAAAATGATCTAAAAATGTAATGTGTTTTAGTAAAGATTTCGTCAGGATTTGCCTTAGAAGTTAAAGTATCTGCAGAATATCTCACTGTATAAACACCAGATTGTTTGTTATTTTATATTGTTGGGTATTTAAAATTATCTTCAGTTTTCTTGTTATTATAAATATCTTGATGAATATCCTTAGTATATACATATGATTTTTTAAAATATAAATTCCTAAAAGTAGAATTGCTGAGTCAAAGAGTAAGTACATTGTTAGGACTCCTGATGGGAATTCCCATGCTGTGCACTCAAACATTTATTGAATGAGATTGAACACACATTATCTATTAATTTGATGGGTGAAAAAAAACACACCTTGTTTACATAAGCATTTCTTTTTATCAGATTTGCCATTTGTCTTGCAATGGATTCTTTTCTCCACCTAGAATTTACTTTGGTATCTTTTTTAAACATGACTAGCCACTTCACTTATTTGAGGCCCACTGGCAAAACAACAGGAAATTCTGATACTATTGATGTAGGAAAGTTCATTAAACATGATCGTTATTAAGACTTCAAAAGAGTTTTTTAAAAAGGATACACTGATATAGTAACTGACAATCTCTTCTTTACATGCTACACCATTAAAAATTTTTTTTATTGTTTTCAGAAAGGAAGGGGAGGGAGAGAGAGAAACATGATGAGAGAGATGATGAGAGAGAATCATTGACCAGCTGCCTTCTGCACGCATCCCACTGGGGATTGAGCCCACAACCTGGGTATGTGACCTGACTGGGAATCGAACCAGCAACCTCTTGGTTCATGGGTCAATGCTCAACCACCAAGTCACACTGACCGGGTTAGAATTATTATTTTTTTGCCTACAGCATCTATTTCACTTAAATTTTAAAAATTTAAGGGGAACCTCACAACTTCATTTGTGAGCCATATAGTATTAACTTTAACAATTCACCCCAGCTCTTCCCATAAGTGGCTTGTGGTGACATCTGAAAATGATTCATTATTCATTTGATCCAGCAAACCCCACAAAATCATGCAAATCAAGAGATTCAAATCTTCATGTTCACTTTAAGAACATTCATGGGACTGCCCAGGCCATCAAGGGTATGCATTTCGAAAAGTCACCAAGTATCTGAACGATGTCACTTTACAGAAGCAATGTGTGCCATTTCGTTGTTACAGTGGTGCAGTTGGCAGGTGTGCCAGGCCAAACTTGGGGCTGGACACAGGGTGAGTGGCCCAAATAGAGTGCTGAATTTCTGCTGCACAAGCTTAAAAATGCAGAGAGTGATGCTGAACTTTAGATGTCCATTCTCTGGTCATTGAGCACATCCAGGTGAACAAAGCTCCCAGTATGTGGCATGGAACTTACAGAGCTCATGGGCAGATGAACCCATACACGAGCTCTCCCTGCCACATTGAGATGATCCTTACTGCAAAGGAACAGACTGTTCCTAAATCAGGAGAGGAGCACAGAAGAAATGATACCCCAAAAGAAACTAAAGAAACAAAAACTTATCACCCAGGAGTAAATTCAGCATTAAATGAAATAAAAGTAAAAAAAACCCAATTCACCCCAAAGGTTTATTACCTTTTGTCCTCGCTTCACTGGCTGCACAGCTGGGGCATTTTTGCCTGTGTTCTGATGTGTTTCAAGGTGTAGAGCATTTTCTTTTTCTTTGTCTTTTCCCTCTATCACTTCTAAATCCCCTGAGTCACTTGGAAGCTTTTTCTTCTTCAGTTCCCTAAATGTAAATGAAACAAAAACATCTAATTCTTAGAATTTCAAATTCTTAGTCCCTAAAAAAATTACATGGGGAAGGAACATGTACAACGTATAACAGATCAAGGCTTCTGCTTTACCTGATAATCACCAGTTACCATATACAAAGAAGCACTAATCATCACAAAGGAAAAAAGCTTAAAATTTTTCTCTCGTGTGTTTTTCACCCTCGACTTACCCTTACTTAGTAGCTACATTCAGTTCCTTAACACCTTGACAGCCAGGCAACAGGATTTGTAGTCTTTGTAATTAACATGGCCTTGGCAGATCTTAGCTATTTATTTTTATTTTAAAAATATATTTTTATTGATTTCAGAGAGAAAGGGAGAGGGAAAGATAGAAACATCAATGATGAGAGATAATCATTGATTGGCTGCCTTGTGCAATGCCCCACACTGGGAATTAAGCCTGCAACCTGGGCATGTGCCCTGACTTGGTATTGAGTAGTGACCTCCTGGTTCATAGGTCGGTGCTCAATCACTGAGCCACAATGCTCAGGCAGATCTTAGCTATTTAATAAAATATCTGTCAAGTGGTTGGCTGAATAAATGGATAAAAAATAAGCAGATGAAGGATGAAAGGGAAATTCTATTGCTGTGATATTTTTCATGTTCAAACTCTTCTATTCCCAATGTCACTGTCGTAGGCCAGGTGTTCAGCACTTCCCACCGTTTTCCTCCAGGGATTTCCCCCAAAATCTTTTCTACATGAACTTCTAGATTAATCTTCCTTAACTGTTTACCTAGGTCACAATCTCATTCAAAATCTTCCAAAAGTCCTCTTCACATTACTTTCAAGATAAAATCCAAAATCCTTAGCTTGTCATTTTAAGTTCCCAATATAAGTTCCATTTTGCCAATCTTATCTACCAGGTCACAAACATGAACATTCTGCTCCTTTCACCTCAGTCTATTCATCATTTCCTCAAAGCACTATGCATATTGCTTCCAAATTCCCACTACCTTAAGTTCGTGTAAATTCTCCTTGATTGATGTCTCTGTATCTTCACTTACCTAAGTGCTAATCTATTTTCAAGAATACTTCTGATGCATTGTGGCTCAGTGACTGAGCACCGACCTATGAACCAGGAAGTCACTACTCAATTCCAAGTCAGGGCACATGCCCAGGTTGTGGGCTCAATTCCCAGTGTGGGGTGTGCAGGAGGCAGCCAATCAATGATTCTCTCTCATCATTGATGTTTCTGTCTTTCCCTCTCCCTTTCTCTCTGAAATCAATAAAAATATGTTTTTAAAATAAAATAAATAGCTAAGATCTGCCAAGGCCATGTTAATTACAAAACACCTGAACTCACAGCAATTTCTTACTTCTCAACTACTGTATCAATTTCAGATAACACTATACTTGACCCCTGAACAACACAGGTTTGCACTAAATACGCCCAGTAGAAGTGGACCCAGGCAGTTCAAGCCTGTATTATTGAAGAGTCAACTATATTTCAATCCGTGGTGAGGAATCCACAGGTGCCGAGGCCAGATTGTAATTATGGTTTATATTTTGTGACCTTCAGAGATATGCACGAGCTACTGCTTTCATCCATTGGGCTACTCCTATTACGAGACTTAACAAAAGTCATCACTGAGAACAAAGATTCACAAGCGTATGTGAATGAAAACATGGAGAGTAACGCTGTTGCAAAGTTTTTTAAACAGAAAAAATTTTCTGGAATGGCATTCCAAGTCCTCAATAGTTCGTTTTTGACACTTCTCTCTGGTACTCCTGTCTCTAATCGGTGTTTTTTTAAAATAAATCTTCATTGTTCAGATTATTACAGTTGTTCCCCTTTTTCCCCCCATAGCTCCCACCCCACCCTCTGCCCGTACCCCTCCACTATCCTCATCCATAGGTGTACACTTTTTGTTGCTGGGTCAAAGGTCATACACATGGAAAATGTAGCTATTTCCATCCATGATGTGTCCCTGTGCTCGGAAAGGTCTCTCAAGACTTGTTCACGCTCTACTCAGAAAGGGTACGAAGACATGTGATGGCTTTTTAAAATAATGTGTCCTCTTATGTTTAAAATGAGGATTTCACTACCAAAAGTGGGGAGAAAGCAACACTACAGCTGCTCTCGCCCCTCTCGCCCTTCGGGTGATAGTTGTGCTTGGCGCTGTGCGCTGGTTCGCGGGCTGTCGACAAAGCCGTCTGGGCAGCTAGCTCGGTTCCGCCGGCTTCCCAGGGGCCGTCTCAGCCTCGCCGGGGCCGTCTCAGCCTCACAGGGACTGTCTTAGCCTCACAGGGGGCACCGCAGCCTCGCAGGGGGCGCTGCATCCCATGCTGGGGGTGAAGGTGCGAGTCAGAAGCTCCTATCGCTGTCTCTCCTGCTGGAATTTTCTGAGAGCCGTCTGCAGGTCCTGGACATCATACTTTAACTGGTCAACACGAAGTTTGGCATTCTGTCTTTTGTTAGGAGGCTCCTTGCTGGACAAAATCTCCAGGCTTTCTAGCTGGCTGAATATCTGGTATGCTTGGTTGGGTTTCGTTTTCTACTAAGTGCACAGACTGCTTGTCTGCCGTCTCCCAGTGTCCCATGTGAGACTGGATCTGGTGGACCTGCTTGTGTGTTTGCTGGTACAGCGGTTCCATGTTGCCGGCCTAGCCGGGTCCAGGTCCGGCTTCCTCTGAACCTGAATCTGCTTCTTGAGTGTGTCCCTTATGGGTGCGAGGAGTTGAAATCTGCAGTTTGTTGGGTTAGGCTGCAAAAGCACAGGTGGTTCCTTTTGTGCCACTGGCACAGCTTGGGCGGGGATGTAAATTGAGTAGGGCGGGGTCTCAAGGAATCACCAGGGCGGAGCAAGCAGCAATGGCATCTCCACGACTCCTCGCTTCTCCGTGACTCCGCGTCCCTGAGTGCCAACGAGCAGCTCCGTGAGAGAGCCACCTTTGCTTTTCGACCCACTGCAAGGCTGTCCCGCCTCTCCCCGTAAGGGTCTGGGACCTCAGAATCTCGCCCCAAACAAGCTCAGTGGATTCGAGAGTTTGTAACCCCTTCCGATTGAAAAAAACTGCGCATCCAGGTGCAGCCTGCCTGGCACGCGACTCTGTACCTCTGTTCTTGGCGCCTCTGCATATCCTACTCAGTCTCAATGCTCTTCTTTCTTTCCTTCCAGTTGTAGAACTTCCACTGGGCCAGCTTTCCCATGGTTCTGAATGATAGCTGTTTGTCTTATAGTTGGTAGTTTCAATGTTGTTGTGGGAGGCAGCACGCACAGGTCTGTACCTTACGCCGCCATCTTGGTTCTCTTCTCAGTATGAGGATTTTTGACCCACATTGTTCAAGGGTCAAATGTATTTACAGATTTATGACTATTTCCTGAATCCAGGACTCAAAAGTTTTTGTTCGTTTGTTTTGTTTCTAGATTCACTTATTATTCATATGTTTTAGTATGTCAACAATAACAATCACTGTTCATAATGAAGTAAAAAGGGGCTCCTGGAATGTGGGCTAGAGAGGTTGCTAGAGATAAAGGAGGTTGTGGGAAGGAGGTAGACTAGCGAGAAGCACTTGAAAAGGGTGAAGAATCCAAGTGCAGTGACAGCTGCTATGAGTATGGAAGTCAAGAGGCTCAATATAAACAATGGCAATAACTTTGAAGGGTGACTAACATCCTGGGCAGAGAAGTAACAACGTCAGTCAGGATTTTCCACCTTTACCTCCAAAATGAACTCTTTAAAACTCAGTGTCTCCATTCTTTTCCTAAATTGAGATGTGCCTTTCTCTCTGAGCTAAAAGAGTTGTTAAGTCTTTGGGAAGAGTTGCTTAATAAATGACCATCACTGAAATATTGGCAATTTAAGTAAGGATTAGCGGTGGGGCAGAAAATACTTGGCATAATTTGAGCACCTGGTGGGTACTGTAGAAGGAGTTGCTGTTGAATGGGGTAACTTCTTTTAATCTGTTTCAGGTTTAAAAGAAGCGAGGTAATAGAGACAGGGTTGGCTGTACCTCATTAATACAGTATCCACTTAGACATGTGGCTATCAAGCACCTGAAACATGGCCACGGCGATGAGGAACTGAATTTCAAATTTTATATTATTCTTTAAAAAAATGTATATATATATATAATTTATATTTATAATTGATTTTTTACAGAGAGGAAGGGAGAGGGAGAGTTAGAAACAATGATGAGAGAGAAACATCGATCAGCTGCCTTCTGCACACCCTCCACCAGAGATGTGCCCGCAACCAAGGTACATGCCCTTGACCGTAATCAAACCTGGGACCCTTCAGTCCGCAGGCCAACGCTCTATCCATTGAGCCAAACTGGCCAGGGCAAAATAAATCTTTATTGTTGAAAGGATTACATTGCCCTCTCCCCCCTGCAAGCCTTTACCACCCACTGTCTGTGTCCTTGGGTTTTGCTCAAAAGCTTCTTGATGGCATTAATTTTGTATTTTACCTCTTTGTATACTAGTTTTAGTCTTTTTCACTTACAGTGGTTGTCTCAGTTGTCCTATTCCTTCTGCCTCTACCTTTCTATTTGCCTCTAGAGACCTGTTATATTTAAAAACGGACAACAGTGTGGTGGGAGGAGAGTGGGGGGAGGTGGAGGAGGATATAGAGGGGATAAATGGCGTTGGGAAAATATAAAATAAATTCTTATCTGCATCCTTAAAAAAGAGTGTTTTCCCTTATGTAAAACTCTCCTAATTAATTTCAAGTGTTCCTACTTATTCTTGTCAATATTATCCTAAAATTAGGTTGTCAATTTAATACATTGCAATCACTATTATACATTTTTTTCACTATTATACATATTTATGTAATAAAAGTTTGTCTCATGTCATATAACACACCTGACTGATTAAGATATAAAACAGAAAAACCTCTTAAGAGCTAAATATTAAAAATGAAATAAGATTTTATGCCCTGGCCAGTGTTGGTAATTGGTTAGAGCATCAAGGGTTTGATTCCTGGTCAAGGACGTGTTTCTGGGTTGTAGGTTTGATCCCCAGCCTCTCCCCCACCCCCTCTTCCCTTCCACTCTCTCTAAAAATCAATGGGAAAAATATATCCTTGGGTAAGAATTAACAAAAAACCCCAACAAAATGAAGTAAGATTTATGGCAAATCTTGGCAATTTTAATTGCCAAGGGACCCCTCAGTGCACAAAGGGAGGTCTTTAGAACAGCAAGGTGATCTGTCATAACTAAATTGTCAATAAAAAATAATTACATGCTTTTTAGTTAGGTAATACAAATGTTTACCTTCTTTCCTTGGCTGACAAATGTCTCCGGCTCTGTAATTTACTGTCACTCTATTAAAAAAACAAACAAACAATATCACTACTAATTTCCCAAACAATAAAATTGACAAGTAGAAAATTATTCTATTCATTGAGAAGGACATGTTTGTTCTTCATAAAACTTTCAAAACAGCTTACCATATTAGAAGATTCTTCTTTTGAAGCCAATTTCTGGAGGGATCTAAGAAAAGAGAAATCCACTAGCCTGTAGAAGGCATGTATTTACAAAGTCCCAAAACATTTCCATATCATACCCTTAATTACTGACAATCCTACAAATTTTCAAATTACAAAATCTAATTGCTTACTTATTTCCTCACGCATTTAAATATATTCTTAAATAGCTGACATGTACTGAATACTTACTATGTACCAGACACTGCTAGATGCTTTACATGCATATTATCTTCACCAAAACCCAATGAATTGGATAATAATTTTCACCAAGAAGAAAATTGAAGCTTAGACATAAAGCAACTTGCCCAAGGATATACTCTGAGACTCAATTCTGATCTGACTCCTAAGCCATTCTTAACTACCCCAAAGATAATGCTTTTATAACTATGGTACTGTTAATTTGGTGATCAGTTAAAGACATTAAAGACTCAAACACCTTATTTTTCACATGGCAATGCCTTTCTTATATTATTAGCATTTATAATCATTTACTTATTTCTATTTTTACCTAGTTTAGTCACTTTTGTATTTACTGTATTTTTCCACCCTGGGTCCTGGGAATTTCTTTAGAGAGACCAGACCTCCAAATCAAATTGTGAAAAAGATAATAAAGTCACAGAAAGGGGAAAAGTACTAAGGTCAATTCTCGGTATTATCTTTTTAAGGATTAACTCATCATTCCTAGCTTCCAAATAAAACTTACAATTATAGTTTTAAAATTACCTCTGGGACTGAAGGTGGGACAAGTCAATGGTAGTATCAGGATAATTTAATATCTCTTCCCCTTCATCCTTCATTTCACCAACAGATTCCTGATCTTTTACTACCTCTTCAGATTCTCCTTCATCTTCGGAGCTCTCTTCCTGCATTAGTTCTTCATTTAGCTCATCTCCACCACTATGAATATTAATACCCTCCTGGTCAACCTGAGACATGAATTCCACTTCCACAGGAGTTTCCTGTAATTCCTCTTTATCTTCTTCACTGCTACTGTCTCCTCCATCTGTAGAATTACCATGAGAAAAGTCAAGAGTGCTATCACCACAAAAAGCTAGATGATTTCCTTGACAACTTTAAAAAATATTCTACTGATTCCGTTTCTCCAAAAGATTACCAGAAAATGCCTGTTCATCCCCACAGCGTTCTCTGATTTACACAAAAGGATACTCTGTATCATGAATTGGTTGGAACAAATGATCTCCAAGATGCTTTACCATAATAAACTTCTTGGACATTACAACCATCTATATATATAAAAGCCTAAGTGACCAAACAACTGAATGACTGGTCGCTGTGACGTGCACTGACCATCAGAGGACAGATACTCAATGCACAGGACCAGGCTCCTTCCTGTCTGGATTGGGTCTGCGGGGATCAGGCCAAAACCGGCTATCTGACACCCCAAAGGGGTCCCAGATTGCCAGAAGGTGCAGGCCAGGCCAAGGGACCCCATCAATGCATAAATCCGTGCACCAGGCCTCTAGTTTCTAAAATAAAAACTATAAATTGTCTTTGTTAGGTATTTCCAAAAAGGAGGAGAGCAGTTCTATAAATTCTGTTGCTTTTATTATAATTTGCACATGAGAACTGAAATTAGATAATCCTATATAATAAAGTGGTAATATGCAAATTGACCATCACACTCTTGCACAAGATGGCTGTGGGAAACTGTTTATTGCCTTCACTATCTGATAAGCATAGACAGAAACCCCCCGAAGGCTGAGTGCCTTTGAAGCCCTAGCAAAGCTCGGAGCTAGGCGCCAACTCTGTCCAGACAGTGGTAGCTGAAACTACTCCCCCATTTATTATTATGTAAATCCTTGCCCCACAGCCAATAAGGAGGGAATAGGCTAATTGACTGTCCTGCCCTCAAAGATGGTGGTGCCCACAGCCAATAAGGAGGGAATATGCTAATTGACTGCCCCACCCTCAGAGATGGAGGTGCCCACAGCCACAAGATGGCTGGCAGGGGAGGGGAGTTGTGGGTGACCAGGCCAGCAGGGGAGGGGAGTTAGGGGCGACCAGGCTGGGAGGGGAGGGTAGTTGGGGGCAACTGGGCCAGCAGGGGAGCAGTTAGGTATCAATCAGGCTGGCAGGAGAGCGGTTGGGAGTCAGCAGTCCCAGATTGTGAGAGGGATGTCCGACTGCCGGGATGTCCGGGATTGGACCTAAACTGGCACTCAGACATCCCCCAAGGTGTCCCAGATTGGAGAGGGTGCAGGCTGGGCTGAGGGACAACGCCCCGCTCCCCCCCCCGCATGAATTCCATGCACCTGGCCTCTAGTGTGGTATATAACTGGCACACAGCATGTGTTCACACTCTGGGCAAAAGGAACACTATCTAGCAATATGGCCTAGTTGCCTCACCTATAAAATGGGATACCACCACCCATATGACAAGGATGGTTTTGAGAATTCAATAAAAAATAATGTAAATAAAGCACTTTATATAGTATCAAGAACAGATTGAAAATTTTAAAAAAAGAGACTTGTTACAACAGTTAATAGTCATAAATAAAACAATGCAGTATTACTCCCAAAAATGAATGACCCTAGGAGAAAGATAACTATAACTTAGATATTTTCTTTAGTTCCTTCAGGTAGATAAGTAAATTTATTCTAGTAACCATAATTGCTCTCCACTTGAAGCAAATATATTATTAAATCAAGCTAAATTATCTTAAAGGAAATTGTACTGGTTATGAACTCATCTTTGTATCACTTCTAAACCCTAAAGAAGCAGTTCTCAACCTGTGGGTCACGACCCATTTGGCGGTCGAACAACCCTTTCACAGAGGTCGCCTAAGACCATCCTGCATATCAGATATTTACATTATGATTCATAACAATAGCAACATTACAGTTACGAAGTAGCAACGAAAATAATTTTATGGTTGAGTCACAACATGAGGAACTGTATTTAAAGGGCCAGAAGGTTGAGAACCACTGCCCTAAAGTAAGTGCTCATTCATATTTATGAATTACCCAATAAATACTGAAGTTTTATTATATAAATATATACTCAAGTGTACTAGTTATGGATCTAATTACTTTATAATTCACTAGGATCACATTGTATGCGGGAAACGTATTTATACGTTCTACCAGTGTAGTAGAGCGCAGGACACGTATTAATACGTTTTTTATAGACTAGCAGTAGAATGCGGGTTAACGTATAAATACGTAAACTAAAGTTATCGTAATTCTACTGAACGTTGCCATTTGCGCAAAAAATTAGCAAAAATGGCCTGCATCACCTGTTAGCGCGCGATAAAAACTACCCGCAAACAATGTGGGATTATAAGCATATTTAAAATTTCCCAAAACAAAATTCAGTAAATGAAACTTTAATTATCCAAAAGGAGCTATGATTTTCTAAGTAAGAATTTAGGAGCAAAACTAGATACAGGCAGTCCTTGGGTTACGTCGGAGATCCATTCCTATGGCGCGATGTAACTCAATTTTCGCCGTAAGTAGGAACCCACCTACACAAGCACCCACGTCATTCACATGGAGCACATACACAGCAGTAATGAAGTGAAACAGTAAAAAAAATTTAAAAGATAACAATTCCTGACCTTTACTTGTGGTAAATAAATAATAAAAAACATAAAGCACATATGTACATATGTTAAAATGACGGAACTTTTTATTTTTTATAAATACTGAAAATGGGAGATGGCGACGTAACCACGAAATGACGTACATCAAGTCCAACGTAACCCGAAGATTGCCTGTAATAGAAAACGTTATTAGGTACTTTATTAAAGTCTGTAAACTACCTAGTTGTTCCATTTCTTCTGATATGAGTTCACTTGTGCAACTCGCCAGTGTCTCCATGTCTTCATCTTGCACTCTGACTTTTCGTTCACCTCGATGTCTCCAAACACAAGACTCATCTACCTATGGAAATAATCCCTTTTCATTGATGGAACTTTAAGTGAGGCTAATGAAAATCAGAAAAAAAAAATAATAAAGAGCCTGGCCAGTGTGGCTCAGTGGCTGGGCACTGACCCATGAACCAGAGGGCATGGTTTGATTTCCGTTCAGGGCACAAACCTGGGTTGCAGGAGGCAGCCAATCAATGATTCTCATCATTGATGTTTCTATCTCTCCCTAAAAATCAGTAAAAACATATTTAAAAAGTATAATAATGAAGAATATGAAAAGTACCTTAAAGAGGAAGCTAAACCCCAGCATTAGATATGACGGAGGAAGGAAATTCTTTTTTCCTACAAAAGATAATGGACATAAATGTTTTACAAATCTGTTTTCTTCATTTTATGCTTGCAAGGTATCTGATACCAATGGTTACACTTGTTTTGTCTTTTCTCTGTCAAGAGGAACATTTCCCATTTACAGAAATTGGCATTATGTAAGGAACAGGAATTAAGATAGAAAAATCTGATTGTTTGCTCTCATCCTTTGGGTTAATCAGACCCTGAATAATCAATTTTTAGAAAAAAAGGTCATGTTATACTTTCTTACCCTTATAACTTTAAACTATGTGAAGTATATATTCATCAATAAAAATATATATGGAGATGACATGACAAATGCTAAATTTGCTACAGCAGAGTAATTTTCCTTATTTCATAACAGACTTCAAATATATGAAATCAAGACAAGAGTCTGTTCTCAGAATATTAGCAAATGGTCCTCAAACTGGTTCCTATAACCCACTGACAATCATTACCTCTTATCATGAAGCTTCCTGTTGTCAAATATTCTCCAGTTGGTGCTGTTTTAGACACCTGAGGAACATGTAATACATTATACTCTTGTCTTTAGAAATACTTAAAAAAAATATTTTCAATGAAGAAAGTCATATTTAAGTAAGTAGTGCTATGTCCTGAGAAGTTTATAAATTTAGCAAAAATGATAAATGCTGATGGGATATGTCTCTTTAATGATAAATATACCCTTTGCTGTAACAGTGAAAAAAAAAAAAAAAGAACATGCTAGAACATACTACATCGGTAATTTTCAAATGTCTTGGAATAGAGCCAGAACTGGTCCACACCGTTTCTCTAGTGTGAGATATAATAAAGAAGTAGTAGTTTAGTAAGTTTACCATACAACTACACTTACTAAAATAAAACTATATTTATTAAATAAAATCCTTTTCTGAGATACTCTTTTTGGTAATAAAATAATCTTTTTACTTTAGGAAATAAAAATGATAGCAGGTTTTAAAACATATTCATTCTAATTTGACAAAATAGGAAGTGAGCAAAATAATTCCACAACTAATAAATATATCATACATCTGTGAAATCCCCAAATCTGAGAGTATATTTATTAGTCATAGTTATGCAAAGGATTAAAAAACCTATTCATAAAAGAATTAAAGTCACTTTCATAACAAGACTGAGGCAGAAAAACCTAATCTCAGAAGTGGTACTTCCTAAAAATCCAGTATCACAGCATAGCAGAAAATAATATAACTGATATAAAAATGAAACAAAAATATAAGAAAGGATAATGATATTGAATTCTTTTTACTACATGCTTTTTCCTATCTATCATCTATCTCTCTATCTATCTATCTATCTATCTATCATCTATCTATCTATCTATATAAAAGGTTAATATGCAAATTGTCCCCTTGGGAGTTTGACCGGGAGACCGACTGCTTGCTATGACACGCGCTGACCACCAGGGGGCGGCGTGGAACAAATGAAGGCCCCAGCTGGCAGCTGGGGAAGGCAGGCCCTGGCTGGCAGCCAGAAAAGGAAGGCCCCGGTTGGCAGCCAGTAGGAAAGCCCTGATCGCCGGCCAGGTCTAGGAACCCTACCCATGCACAAATTTCGTGCACTGGGCCTCTAGTTAATTATAATTCTTGAAACTGTGTATCAATAGCAGTGTAAAGTCAAATGTGGAATGAAGTATCATCACAAAAAACAACATAACCATAAAGAAAGACAATCACTAGCCCTAGCTGGTTTGGCTCAGTAGATAGAGCGTCGGCATGTGGACTGAAGAGTCCCAGGTTCCATCCCCAGTAGGGGGTGTGCAGAAGGCAGCCGGTCAATGATTCTCTCATCATTGATGTTTCTATCTCTCTCTCTCTCCCCCCTATAAATCATAGAAATATATTAAAAAAGAAAAAAGGGACAATCACTAAAATCGAGTGACTACAAAACCATTGGATATACCTACTTTCCTGGAACAGCCAAAAGGAATTCAGAAAATTCTAACAAGTATGAATCGGTGTTTTAGGTCAGTATGTCCGTCATAATTAGAACACTCTCTATCCCATATAATTGCATGGATCACTCTCTCTTCATTTAGGACTCTGCAGCTCAAATCTTACCTTCCCAGATACTCTGTTCAGAATGGCAGTCCCTATCACTCTCTATCCCCTTAAAAAAAATACTTATAGCAATTGCTACCTGGCATTACGTATCTTTCTCCACTACCAAAATGTCAGCTCCATCAAGTAGAAGTGAACTCAGCCTTGTTCACTTCTATACCCCTAAAATTTGGTACATGATAGTTCTTAATAAATTAAGAAAAGAACCATAGCCATTATTACCTGATGATGGTACACCCACCAAGCACTAGTGATAACTCGGGCATCCCAAGCAGCACTGTAGCAAAGTGCCATTGTGCCAGCTTCAGTCAAGGTTCGAGGAGGAATCGGTTCTCCTGTAATAACAATGCTACAATGCGTCAGTACCAAGTACAGACTTTCTACAGAGCAAGATATGAAAATCACAGGTGTGGCAGGTTTAATCTTCTTATATTTTAAATACTAGTACTACATTTTTATTGCAATATTATAAAAAGTTACTATTTTTTATTAAAATGTATTTACAGCAGGCTTTTAAATGGTCTAAGTCAGTGGTCGGCAAACTCATTAGTCAACAGAGCCAAATATCAACAGTACAACGACTGAAATTTCTTTTGAGAGCCAAGTTTTTTAAACTTAAACTATATAGGTAGGTACATTGTTATTAACTTAATTAGGGTACTCCTAAGCTGGCCTTTGCTAAAAATGTTTCATTTTATAGTAATAAAGCCACCAACACAAGATAATTACAATTCTTAAATTGATGACAAAAATACCTGTAGGATTTGCAGCTGGTTGGAAAAATATAGGGAACTTTATACTTCAAGTAGGTACTTTGGTTACCCACATGCGATTTGCGGATGCGACTAGCACTAACCACTGCACAATGAGACTGCTGACTGACTGGCTCACTCAACTCGTGCATGAATCCCGTGCGCCTCCCCAAGCGCTGCGTATCCCATGGCCCGCCTGTGCTGTGCCTCCAGCCGCCCGACCGACCGACATCTCCCTTGTGGGAGAGCACAGTCGTTCTGTGGTATTTTGTGGAAGAGCCACACTCAAGGGGCAAAAGAGCCGGTTTGCCGACCGCTGGTCTAAGTAAATAAAACAAATTAGAGAAGAAATTTCCTCTCTTATGTCAGTAAATCTAGCCTCATTCCAAAAAGGATAATTTAAACAATCTATTTAAAGTTTGAAGACTTCCAGAATTATTACAGATTCACTAAATCATCAAAATAAAGAGCATATTAATCACAAACCCCTAGTTATATTTCAAATATTTTTAAATTGGGATATAACTCACATAACATAAAACTGACCCTTTAAAAATATACAGGTTTGGGCAGAAGTAGGTTTATAGTTGTATGTGAATACAGAGTTTATTTCTGAATTATTATTTATTATTGTACAAGAGGCTCGGGATTACCTCAGCCCGGCCTGCGCCCTCTTGCAGTCCAGGACCCCTTGGGGGATGTCCACCTGCTGGCTTAGGCCTGCTCCCCGGGGGATCGGGCCTAAGCTGGCAGTCAGACATCCCTTTGGCAGCTCAGGAGCCCTCAGGGGATGTCCACCCGCCAGCTTAGGCCTGCTCCCCGTGGGCCTAAGCCACAGTTGGACATCTTAGCGCTGCGGAGGAGGTGGGAGAGGCTCCTGCCACCACCACTGTGCTTGCAGCAACCCGGCTTGTGGCTGAGCAGAGCTCCCCTTGTGGGAGAGCACAGTCGTTCTGTTGTTAGGGTCAATTTGCATATTGGCCTTTTATTACATAGGATTATTTCCCACAGCAACAGCTATAAACTTACTTTTGTCCACTTTGTAAAATTCAATGGGTTTTAGTATGTTCATAAAGCTATGGTACTATTATTACTAATTCCAGAAATCTCCATAATCCCCTAAATCCTGTATCCATTAATATAGTTTTATATTTTCCTTATCAATTTGGATATTTTTAATTTCTTTTTATTGCCTAATGACCTATTTAGTACTTCCATAAACATGGAACAGAAGCAGCAATAACAGCCATGCTTATCTCATTCATGATCTTAGGGGAAAGCTTTCAGTCTGTGAGCATTACGTACAATTGTTAGCTGTGGGTTTTCCACAGCTATTCTTTACCGAGTTGAGGAAATTCCCTTATATTCCTAGTTTGTTGAATGCTTTTATCACAAGTGGGTGTTAGATTACTGCCAAAGGCTTCTTCTGCATCAATTTAAATGATCATGTGATTTTTGTACTTATGCTATTATACTTTACTACATTAATTAATTTTCAATCATAAGACAAACCTTGCATACCTGGGATAAATCCCGCTTTGTCATGGCGTATAATACTTTTTTTTTTTTAATATATTTTATTGATTTTTTACAGAGAGGAAAGGAGAGAGATAGAGATAGAGTTAGAAACATCGATGAGAGAGAAACATCGATCAGCTGCCTCCTGCACATCCCCCACTGGGGAAGTGCACGCAACCCAGGTACATGCCCTTGACCGGGATCGGACCTGGGACCTTTCAGTCCGCAGGCCGACGCTCTATCCACTGAGCCAAACCGGTTTCGGCTGTATAATACTTTTAACATGCTACTAGATTCAGTTTCCTAATATTTTGTTGAGGATTTTTGTGTCTATATTCATAAGTGATATTGATCTGTAGTTTTCTTGTTATGTCTGTCTGGTTTTGTTATTAGGGTAAATGGTCTTGTAGAAGAGTTAGAACAGCGGTTGCCAACTTTTCGGACCTTGAGGACCACCAGTGGTCTGCAGACTACCAGTTGGTGATCGCTGAGTGAGAAAGTGTTCCCATCTCTTCTATTTTTTGGAAGACTTTGTGAAGGACTGAGGTTTAATCTTCTTTAAAAGTTTGGTAGAATTAACCAGTGAAGCCATGTGGGCCTGAGATTTCTTTGAGTAGATTTTTTTAAATTACTAATTCAATTTCTTTACTTATAGGTTTGTTTTGATTTTCTATTTCACCTTAGGCCAGTTTTGGTAGTTTGTGTCTTTCTAAGAATTTGCTCATTTCATCTAGGTTATTTAATTTGCTGCTATACAACTTTTCACAGAATTCCCTCATGATTCTTTTGATTTCTGTGAAGTTGACAGTAATGTCCTCTCTTTTGTTCCTAATTTTAGGAATCTGAACCTTTATTTGCTTGTTTTTCTAGATTTTAATGATTATAATTGTTATTGATTTGAAATTGTTCTTCTTTTTTATTATAGGCATTACCACCATAAATCTCTCTTTAAGCACTGCTTTAGCTACATCTCCAAAGTTTTGATACACGGTTTTCATTTCACTCATCTCAAAGTATTTGCTGACATCCAGGCCCCTAAAGATTTCCTCTTTGATCCATTGATTATTTATGAGTGTGTACTTTAATTTCCATACATGTGTATATTCTCCAAATTCTCTTCTATTAGTGGTTTCTAATTTCACTCCATTATGGTCAGAAAACTTAATTTGTAAGATTTCAATAGTTTTAAAATTTATTGAGGCTTTCAAAAAAATATTTTTATTGATTTCAGAGAGGAAGGGAGAGGGAGAGAGATAGAAACATCAATGGTAAGAGAGAATCATTGATTGGTTGCCTCCTGCATTCCCCCACTGGGGATCAAGTCTGCAATCCAGGCATGTGTCCTTGACTAGAATCAAACCCAGGACCCGTCAGTCCACAGGCCGATGCTCTATCCACTGAGCCAAACCAGCCAGGGCTGAGACTTTTTAATGAATATCACATGGTCTCTCCTGGAGAATGTTCCATGTGTACTTGAGAAGAATACGGATCTATTGTTATTTGGTGGAGTATACTAGAGATGTATTAGATCTAGTTAACTTAGTGCTGTTCACATCTTCAATTTCATTGTTGATCTTATATCTAGTTACTCAATCTATGATTGAAAGTTAAATATTAAAAGTTAAATATAATTGCTGAATTACCTATTTTTCCCTTCAATTCTGTCAGATTTTGCTTCATGTATTCTAGGGCTCTGTTGTTGAGTGTATATGTATTTATAATGGTTATAACTTACTAAAGGATTGACTGTTTTTATCATTATAAAGTGCCAAATCTCTATTGACAATTTTTGTCTTATAGTTATATTAAAACATTTTAACAAAAGGAATTAAAGTTCTGAATAGAAAGAAATATAATACCTGTTGGATTTTTAATGACACAGCTAGTAGCTCCATGAAGATCAGCATGTACATAAATGTCCCCTTAAAAAGAAGAAACGATACTCTAAATTCTGTTTTGTTTTATTACAATTATTTATTTATTTACTGTTTAATGGATTCAAAACCTAAAAGTGATAAGAAGACATATAAATTCCATCTCCTATCCCTGGGCGATTTCTTATAGGCCTCCTTCTAGAAAGCAATGCTAATATGGTAGATTACAAAAATGACAATTCCTCTCCCTCCCTCTACCCACACCTCTTTGCTTTGTGACTGAAGCTTTTCCCATTAAGAGTGGAGTCCACCCCAATAAATTAAATAATAATAATAATAATTTTTTAAAAAAGAGGTGGAGTGCATGTCCCATCCCTTGGATCTGGCCCTTCCTCATGACCTGCCTTGGCCAAAAGAATGTGGCAGATGTGACTAAGTGCCAGTTCCCAGCCTAGGCCTTGAGAGGCCTTGTGTGCTTCCTCTCTTTCCGAAACTTGCTGAGTTACCATGTAAGAAGCCCAGACTAGCCTGCTGAAAGGGTGAGAGACAGATGGAGCAGATGAGTCGTCATTGCAAGTGCAAAGGTCCTGAGGACTATGGTTGTTTGACATGTATGAAGAGCAGTCAGGAGGCCAGAGTGAGGGGAGAGTGGTAAGAAAAGAAGCTGGAGATAAAGACTTCCAGTTTTATTCTCAGTATGTGAGAGCATCAAATGATTTAAAGGAACAAACAGATGAATACAAGAGTAAATGGTCAACCAGAGAAAAGGAAAATGCATGGTTCTTAACAGGTAAAATGAGCAGCTGCTGCTTGCTGTGGACACCTTATCTGGGTTTGAAACTCAATGAGAAAAACTCATATGCTCCATAACAGGCTCAACTCATAATGAACAGAGCTAGAAAAGACAGAGACCAAGCCCTGGGCACCATGTAACCTGACCCTGCTGCTTTCTTCCATGGTTAGGAATCTTCAATGGTCATTAGATTAGTTCTGGTATTGGTTATTGATTTCTCATACCCACGCTGAGGGCTTAGCCACAGTGAGGCGGTGATTATAAGCATACAAAAATGAGAGGACTTACACCGCAGGACTTCAGTCCTTTCTAAATGTTAGAAAAGGTTATAAACGTCAGCACTGAAAAATTAAGCTTTTAAAAATTTAATCTATGATTTTGGAGAATTAATATGCTAATATAGCAAAGAATCAAAAGTCCAACACTGCAGATTAGCTTAGCATTACTACTTTAGAAATATTCACTTACGATGATAACTGTCAAACTATAAACCACCAAGCATCAAACTCTTTCTACTAACTCAATTTGTCAAAGAAGTTTAAAATGAAAATCTATAGCTAATATTGAGATAACTGATCCAATTACTTAAGAAAATATTCTTTAGAATTTTAATCATACCTACCTGCTGTCAAGTATCTTTTCACAATTATTTCATTCTGTTGCTGATCTCGTCCTCCTATAATTAAATAGTTCTCTGAGCTAATGAACCACAAAAATTTCTCAAACCTACCAAATTGAAATAAGAAAAGTTAACATTTCTTTTCCTTTATAGTTGCCTAAATTCACACCCCCCCCTTTTTATTTTTACAAAGCAAAACAAAACAAACAAACAAAAACAACAGGAGGCTATCCTGTGTAGGTTAAGACAAATTTAAGGTTTGATTTTTCTTAAAAAATGAAGCTGAATTTTATTGAAAACTTACAATATAAATTGCCCTAGACATTCTTAAGATAGTCTGAGAAGAAAGCAACTAAATTCTGTATTTGAAAAATATATGTTCTGTCCAGCTGGTATAGCTCAGTGGTTGAGCAACCTATGAATGGGGAGTCACTATTGATTCCTGGTCATGGCACATGGCTCTGGTTTTGGGCTTGATCCCTGTAGGGAGTGTGCAGGAGGCGGCTGATCAATGACCTCTCTCATTACTGATGTTTCTATCTGTCTCTCCCTCTCCCTTCCTCTCTGAAATCAATAAAAGAAATTAAAAACAACAACAACACATATATGGCCCAGCTGGTGTGGTTCAGTGGTTGAGCATTGACCTATGAACCAGGAGGTCACAGTTGGATTCGAGGCCCAGTGCATGAAATTTGTGCATGCGGGGGGTGTCCCTTCAACCCAACCTGCATCCTCTCCAATCTGGATATCCCTCAGGGAGCCCTCTCCAATCTGGGAGTTTCTGTCTTTGCAATCATATGAGCGAATTGTCTGAGACCCCAACCAAATTTGGTTTGTTGCTCACAGAATAATAGAGGCTTTTTTTTTTCTTTGTTTCATTGGTGGAGATTTCCTGAAAGTTTTAGGATATCATCCCTTTAATTTTTCCTAAACACTCTGATTTTACTTATGTCTCTCACCTTTGCTTTCCCTCCATCCCCCACTGCAACAGTAACTTGTTCCAGGCTCACTTGGCTCTAGTGTCTAGGTCAGAGATCTGTCTGCCACCAGAACTACTATTCCCAGCATTCCTGATGCTCCCCATGCTGGGAGTGACCAAGGGAGCCACCTATCCCCAAGGGAGTGACTGAGAGAGCGACTGAGGGAGACATGTCACACA